AGAAAACAAAATAAGTATCATAAGAAGTAAATTATTAAACACTAACATAATTATTATAAATTTAAAAGAAAAAGTTGCGTAGTTAAGTAGAGGGTAGTTTTTTGATATTTACCTTATAAAGTGCTTTTTAATTAAACGTAGAGAAAAGTACTAGATCATTAACGATAAGAACGTTCTAATTTTATGATTTATTCCTTACTACAAACTAGTTATAATTCAACATTAACTATCCAAGAGGTTTGTATTTTTTTTTTCAACGACTTGCTTTAGTGTTCCTACCGGTATTACCTATAGTGGCAATTGCGGTCCCTACAACGTCTACTTCTTCTAGGCAAGACCTCGCTTTACCGTCTCGTAAGGGCGTCATTAGTATAAGTATATACTTTACCCTCAACTAAGAGAATAAGGAGAAGGGGGCTGACTATAAATGAACAATATACCCGGTTCATCGACGTCACGCCTTGCGAGGTTCATACCGTGCCTACTGAGAAGGTTGCTGGTGGTGCTAGCGCTCAAGGACTGTGCTACTCCATGGCGTACCACGGATGCGGCGGCCGTGTGACTGCTTCCAACACTATAATCCGCTGTCCCAATGGCTACTAAATGTTGTGCAAAACTGGGCAGAACGCGGCAGTGGTAATGGTGTAACCGCAACTCTGCCCTGTGTGGCTGCGCTATCCGGTGGCCTGGCTGATCTTTGTATCCGGTCCTTCATTTATCTTTCTCGCTATTCATCTATTTTTTCTCGCAAACAATTACCGAAATTTTGGCACCTTATCTGGCTTCTATATTGACTTCTGCGTTGTTCTCGAGCTAAATCTTGATACTCATTCCTATCAGGACGACTTATGAATCAATCGTGGTCAATACTTTTCCCTTGGGCCAAGGCCAAGATATAGCGCCATCAGTGACTTTTCGGCGCACTTGTCCAGAAATACGCCAGAGTATCCTCGGTTGTGTATGATTCTGGGTCGTATTTGAGTTTAGAAAGAAGGGGACTTCGTCAATCGGTCGCCTGTTGCTGAATCTACGCACAACTAATTGATTCCAGGTGGTTTCGGTCATTATCCCACCGGATATGATGTTGTTTCGATTGATGCCAAATCCACATTCCGCGCAAGGCTGATTGCAGGTGTCTGGTCTCCTGAACTCTATTGTACAGCGCTACTGTCGGTCATATCCGTTCCAATTTATTTGGATCCTAGGTCTGACTCGCAGTTCCATTGTTATTTAAACATAACATGACTCCTCATAGGCTCACATGTTGCCATTTCAACTACACTCCCGGCCCATATCTTTAGGTTATTTTATATTTCAGACCTTGCTCGACTTTCAGCACCAATAGCAAATTTCTTAATCAAAGGTCTGATTGTATCGCACTTGCTCGAAGACTCGTAACCTCACATTTCAAACCCAGAATGCGCTTTCTTATCTTTGTTGCCCACGCAGGCCTTGCAATTGCCGCTACGGCCCCAGGCTGCCATTTTTGGATCAGAGAAACTTCTACGGGCCAGAATGTCGGTCAAGGCTGCGTCGGAAAGGGCTGGACAATTTATCCTTGGGCAGCTAAAACCCGCGTTGGTGTCACGGCAGACCAGTCGTGCAATCTCAAGACAGAGAGCACCACATACGCTGCTCAGTTCGATGGCGAATGCATCGCAACTGTACAAGGCAAATAAAATACAGTCTGGTGAGTAAATAAAGTATCAGAACTATCTTTGGCTGGCGCTGAGATGTCATGATTTAGCATCCAAACAACGAAGAAAAATGACCCCCGTAAAGGAACGGTTCTATGGCGATGAGGGTGGATATTTGAAGGTTGCGAATCATGATCATGCTTCATATGGCAAAGTGTAGAGTCACACTCTTCACTAGGTCTCTTGTTCACGTCGACGATGTACTGCATGCTTTGCAAAGTAAGGTAGTGACAGTTCGAATAGCAAATAATATGGTTAATGATTGAAGTTGTGAAATAGTGTATAGTTAGTTAAATGGTAACGAACCAACGATTATCATTAGAGACGTCAATCGTCTTGGTAAGCACCAGCATTCACATCTGCAAAACTCTGTGCTCGATTAGAGAAGAGAATAACGGATAGAATTCAGAATTAACTATAAGCTACATCCTGTCGGACCCATCCCCTTACAGCCGTTATAATAATTATCATACTATACTTATAAGATAATGTAGTCTTATGTAAGCATAACCGAGGTTGTTAAAGATATGCTAGTATAAGAGTTGTTTTTTTTATTTATCATATAAATAGTCGGTATATTCCCGTAGCTACCTACTTCCTGCAATTATTGATACATCCCTACTAAACCCTTATGTACTAATCGCTGCTTAATAGAGCGAATCAATACGATAAGTAAAGGATTATGGATAATGTAAGAATGAATCTAATATTGCCCTAGTCTAAGGTGTCGAGACGGGTCCTGTGACATCAAGCCCCTGCGAACTTTACGATCACTAAGTTCGGGACGGATTTGGCTAGTGTTATCGCTGAAATTGATATGAGTGTGAGCAGTGTGAGAATTTGCTCAAGATTCATTAGGACTTTTGTCATAGAACAAATGATTTCTTTCTTCGTATTCATATAAAAAGGTTCATATCGAAACTTAATTATAGTTGAATAAAGAAAGATTGAGTTTTATTGTTCTTTCCCGGCATTGCTTGAACTCGTCCATGATGGAGGCAGAAGAATATTATATAGTACGAGCAGTTTCACTCATACGAATCTCCTTCGCACCAGATCGAAGACTATACAAGTATTGACTATACAGCAAGACAACATGCAGCTGAACGCTTTGCTATACGCCGCCTTGCTCCCATCGGTTGCCAGTGCGGTAAGAGACCCTGATTACAGGCTTATTTCGCAATCTCACACGAGCACAGTGCAAACCGTGGAAGCGCATCCCTGGCGAAGGATGTTGCTTCAAAGATGTTGGCACTTGTGTCTATTGGCTGGTAAGTCGGAAATCTCGGTTTTGAGCTCGGGATAGTACGCTGATAGAACAAGGGTATATATGGAGGCTGCCAAAGCAACAACCCTCCTCCACTTTGCAGTGCCGAAGTGAAGGCCAAGTGCGTAAGTAGCATGCTGGCTATGCAGTATCAACACCCATGATAACTAACTCAACTCAGTCGGCAGACTGTTGTCGTACAGATGGCCAGAAGAACCAGAATGGTGGAATTTACGGCGACAAATGCGGTTAGGTGGGTAGATGACCAGCCAAACCCTTATAGAGCGGGCAAATCTGCGTATGAAGAAGTAGGATGGGTTTCATAGGTCGGACATATAGTAGCATAGGCTTTGATCTCTCCTCTCGAAAATGTGCCAGTCGGACTCGATGCGCTAAGCACAATACTCTTACCTCTTCGATTCGTCCGATTACTAAGTATGAGAGCTCCCGCACAGCCGCAGACATTGTCATACATTGAAGGGGCTACAATGCCTCTTCTCAGAGGGGGTGACGAGGGACCAGTTTATCTGTAATCTGTAGTGTTTTGCGGCACCGATCGTAGCATGCCTGTTGTCTGGGGACTTTCTCTGTGTAGAAGGTGGTATCGTTCTGTGAGGCTGGATTTTGAAAACCAGGAAGGGTGGCGTAGTAAGAAACGAAAAGTCCATTTCCACGTTCCTCATACCGGAGATGAAACACTTCTCGGAATCAATGAGAATTAGCAGTCAAACGCATAGAAAAGTGATAATGTTACAGTAGCCATGGTAACTTCCCCAGATTTGTACTACATCGGGATGTCTAGATTGGCATTTTGAGTTGAGCGCGAGCTTGAAGCACAACGTGGACATCGTGTAATCAAACTATGTTCCGTACCTGATGAGTCGTTTTCCTTGATAGCCAGATCCTGTCGTTTAGAACAGTCTTATGGGTCTACAAACCCGGAATAAACCCACTAGGCCACGTTGTACCAACCATGACTTCTCAATCTACGTCCCAACGTGACTGGGAAGTCTTCCTAAGTAGGTGGGCTGTATCTGGGTGCTCTTGTTAGCCGGCTTTGGCTAGTATATGCGAGTCAGGGTCGCTGGTGTTGGTGCAAAAACCCTTCCCAGTATTATGTCGGGAGCAAAAGGGGCTTCGAGACTCATCGCGTCTCGGGGTTACCACAAACTCCGGATTCAATTCCCTTGAAGGGTTGGCCATCTCCTACTATCACACCGGGTGCAAGTGGACTATAGCAAATTCATCTCTAGTTTTTTCTAACTCATGCCTTGGTTGACTTCATGCTTCGCAGGAACAACTGAACTGAGGTCGAATCGTCATACTTACCAACCAACTCCAATATGGCATCGACATGAGTACATCTACTTTCACAAGGATTATTTACCTCATAGTTGGGCATGAACAATCTTGAAAAAAAGCCTAACTAGAGAAATATTCAAGGCGGATGTGCCAAAGCTGCCAAGCAAGTGATGGAATATCATTCGCCAGTAAAAGTACTTTCGCAAACGCGGACTGTTCAACTTGAACCCGATGGGAAACTGCTCGCCCTTCGGCGTTATCGTGATTACCGGCTTTAGAATGTCGCGCTTACTGACGATCCGATGGTTTTGTCGTCCGACGTAATAGTAAGTTGCCTATGGTCATCTTTTGATAAGCCTCTTTGCCTAATTGCGTACTCATAGGTGATGATAAAGAAGCTAACTCTCTTCAACAAGCTCTTGATCTCAACCTTCACCAAACAAATTGACGAATCCGGTTTCAATCCGCGACGCCATGTTTCGAGCATCTACCTATTATAGAGCTACCGATTTCTACCTACACGGCGACTAGGAAGATCCTCGCATACTATCTTCTTGCGACAAGCAGACGTCGTGTCTTGACTAGGCGAACTCTCGGTTGCCCATGGTTATAGGCGCGTGGTCAAGGAACCGAGCTTCGACATACCCGTCATCTTCTTCCCGGCATGTAGGTCTGCCGACAAGAAGTTGCCGACCATTGTCCTGGGTAATGGTTACGATGGCTCAATAGAAGAAATGCACCATCAGTATGGCGCCGGAATTCTAGAGCGTGGTTGGAATGTGCTATGCTACGACGGCCCAGAACAGATCTGTGCACGCCGTTATCAAGGAATCGGTTTCACCCACGAGTGGGAAACAGTCGTCTCCCCTGTTCTGGACTTCCTGGAAACTCTACCAATCGTCAATATGAAGTAGGTTGGGATTGTCGGAAACTCGATGGCAAAATACTTGCCGCCCGCGCTGCTGCTTTCGCCCACCGCATTGCTGCGGTATTCAGTATCGATGGATTATACAATCTTATGGGTATCCCCGTCTTCGATGCCGAGAAGGGCCTGGCTCAATACTCGGGAGTCCAGGACTTTGCTGCAGCAGAGAAAGTCTTCACGGACCCTGGTGTCCCAACGACAGCTCGCTGGCCCCTGTCTCATGGTTTATGGGCTTTCAAAGTTCGAACCCCGGCAGAGTACCTGGACAAAGCTTCATATTTTAGCTTGAAGGGCATAGCCGACAAAATTCAGTGTCCTGTATTTTGTTGCTGATGCCGCGGACGATCACCTTTTCAAAGGACAACCTGAGGCAATGCGGGATGCTTGGGGTGACAAAGCCCACTAAGGTAGGTTGTAATCACGGCAGACGACGCGGCAGGCGACCATTGCCATGTGGGTGCTGCAAGGTATACTAAGTAGGTCAGGTTTGACTGGTTTGAGCAGAAGATCATCAAGAACTAGGTCAAGATGGGCTTTTATTAGCCCTATGGCGAAGTGTTATCGACTGTCAGCCTAGCCAAAATGCAGACGAGGCGACGTCTCTGAGTCCCTTTGACAGGGAATTCTGTCAATGTTGTTTGGTTTCTTTCCTGGTAGCTTTGACCTTGTTGGCTGCAACACAGAGGATTTCATGTTAGGTGGTAATCGCACGGTTCATATGCGGTGATGCATTTCTTGAGATCTGTTAGATTCATGGTCCGGAACCCCCCCCCCCCCCGGCCCCCAAAACCCTTTCCTTGGAACTAAGGACCTTCCCACCTATATCCTATCCGCTAGTGTAAACTTTGGCCAGAAAGACTAGAAGTGAGTCTATACAATCGCGTTGTTTCGAAGGAATGTACTTGATTTCCGATTCCAATGCATTTGGCAGCAAAACGCAAAGATGAGCTGAGCTTCTGACTGCCCACTAGAGTCCTACCCCACCTCGGGTATGGAGATCAAATGTGCTGTATAAAAGTTCCAGATGTATCAGACCAGCCTCTGGGTGTCTCTATTCCACAGCACCATCAAGGTCATTCTTCATTCTAGCCCTTGCTATAAAGGTGCGACATAAAACCCGTGTGTGGCCTCCCAGCCCGCTGAAGCTAACTAACGATGCCCTCAAAATCACTCACGATACTTTGAGAAAAACCCGGTATCAAAACACTTGACTCACATATTTATTCTTCCTCTGGGGCGAAACGGTCAAGAAAGAAGTTTCAGGCCACACGGCTAACTTTCACGCTATGGAAATTCTTCATTTACCTTGACGGCTTTCGAACATGAAGGTACTGCGGTATACAGTTGCGGTCTAAGCCGGCTGTTACGATCTAAGGGTACATACATCGTCGACTGCTATCTCCGATATCAAGGACTTGAAGGACCTTGACTGCCACAACGCCTCAATCAAATCACTTCAAAACTTTCTTCCTCCTAGAATTGGGAATAAAAGCCAGCCCATCCCCTGCTTCTTTTTCCTTTCCTTCTGCAGGCTCACCTCAAGCAAACACAATCCACTCTCTACTCTTCATCTCATTCTCAGTTGGCTACTGCGGCGATTCACTCACTTTCCACTTCCGCCTATCTCATCTCATATCTCTGGCTCTTATACAAAAAGACCCGAGATTGTCTTAGCTGCGGCTCTTTTCTCTTTACAACCCACCTTAACTTCTATTGCCATAATCAACATGCCTTTCATCGAAGCTACTCTTTCCTCTGCCTCAAGGGCTCAGGGGGACACCACAACCACTCTCCGTCGCATGCCGCTTAACAATGTCCCTGTTTTCAACGAAGACAGCGCTATTCATGATGAGCAGCAGCCTTTCAGTAGCGACGACTTCACTATCTTTTGTGATGACGGAGACAGCGGCGCTTCTGTGGAGCAACGATCTACCAGTAGTGGAGGCTTCGCCATCTTCGGTGATGATGAAGACAACACTATGTCTGAGGAGCAACAACCTTTCAGCAACGATGACTTTACCATCTTCTGTGATGAGTCTGAAGAGAAATTCCGTCCAGCCAATGGGGACATCAACATCGGCTTCGAAGATGGATCGAGGTACACAATCCCAGAACTGCAAGGTACCGTCGGCGTTCTCCAAGAGCGACACCCCAACATCATGGGCAGAGCAATCGACCACAACAGACACTACGGTCGACTACCCGCCACCATGACCAAAGAGCATGCGTCTGGCAATAGGGAAGTCTCTGCATCTCTTCATTATCTTCATCCAAACCCAGAACAGGGTACCCCAGGCCGACACCTCACTCCCGAGCAAGTCGAACGCTCGGCTCGCATGCTCGCATTGGACGACGCCATCGACCAACTTCACGATCCCCTCATCTACGAGGACCGACAGATTATTCGCCGAATTGTGCGGCTGCTGGACATGCGTCGCCAAGAGCTCTTGAGGTACCGCATCAGCGTCGACAAGAACTCGCCGGAGGTTGAGCTGCCTGAGACCGTTGACGACATTGAAGACCTTGCGATGCAAGCCAGTGTCAGTTTCGATTACCCGTTTGTTCTCCGCGCTATTGAAGCCATAGACACTCTCGCTCAGAGTGTCTGGTTCTGCAATGATGAAGAACAGGAGTCGAACAAGGAGAATATACCTCCTGAGCTCATGGGCTAGATGGAAGGGAGAAAGATGATGTAGAGCATGAAGGCCTGCTGAGGAGGGCAAGCAACACAAGGAAACAGAGCCAGATGCTCAAGCCCTACAATTCTTGGTGACTACGGGACACAGCAGTCTCATGATATGACGACGAGCATATGAGATACGAGCAATGAGACATGACTAGATGATTAGACGGGGGTTTTGCATCAGGCAACTGGGATCGCTTGGAGTATTGGAGCATTGCATCGGCGTTTGGTCATTACAAAATTTTGAATTCATAGACGTGTAATTCTAATGGTTGCGCCTTGCATACGACAAGTTGTATATGAACAGGCTGAAAAAAGTGAATGTGTTTCTGAGTTATCAAATGAATGAGGAAGGTGAAGTTGAAGATTCAGCTTGTGAGACATTCACTGAATGAAGAGTGAGTACGTAACTTTGGCAGGGTCCAAGCGCCGTTTCCCCTGAGGACCCCGCACTAAGCCTCTTCAGGCAAAGACCGCAGGTAATCCCATCCTGGAAATTGATGCTAATTATTGTTTGCCTATTGTTTTGTGAGGGGACGAGCTTCGCAACCCCGCCAAGTTATCACCAACTCCATCCCAGTGTTCTTGTCCGCAGAGATTCGAACCTCCGGGAGTCAACGCAGTTCCAAGTACTGATTATTCTTTGTGATACCTCAAGTCTTTATTCTTTTCCACAAGGTATGAGTTCTCTTTGCCTCTCAATGCATCCCAATATCACCTCATTTAATTTTGCCCCGCCTTGGATTTCACTGACCGCCTCTAGCAGACCGCAGACTCGATTGCAATATGTCAGACAACAAGGTCTATCGTGCCAGCACCACGGCACCTGTCAACATTGCCGTTGTCAAGTGTGTTATACCAAGCTGCAGATGCGTATTCAAAATGTCTCAATACTAAGAAACGTAGGTACTGGGGTAAGCGCGACCCGAAGCTCAACCTCCCCACAAACAGCTCCCTCTCCGTCACCCTCTCCCAAGCCGACCTCCGAACCCTGACGACGGCATCCTGCTCCGCCTCCTATCCCGAAGGCGACAGCCTCATCCTCAACGGCGAAGCCTCCGATGTCTCGGGCGCCCGCACACAGGCCTGCTTCCGCGAGCTGCGCGCCCGCCGCGCCGCCCTCGAGGAGAAGACCCCTTCTCTCCCGAAGCTCTCCAAGCTGCCCCTGAAGATCGTCACCGAGAACAACTTCCCCACCGCTGCCGGACTCGCCTCCTCGGCCGCCGGCTTCGCCGCCCTCGTCCGCGCCATCGCCGACCTCTACGAGCTCCCCGAGTCCCCCTCCGAGCTGTCCCTCATCGCGAGACAGGGTTCCGGCTCCGCGTGCCGCAGTCTGTTTGGCGGATACGTCGCGTGGAGGATGGGCGACAAGGCGGACGGCACGGACTCCAAGGCTGACCTTGTCGCCGAGGCGTCGCACTGGCCCGAGATGCGCGCCCTGATCCTGGTCGTCAGCGCGGCCAAGAAGGGCGTCTCGTCGACTTCGGGTATGCAGCAGACGGTCGCGACGTCGGGCCTCTTCAAGCAGCGCGTCGCCGAGGTCGTGCCGAAGCACATGGGTGAGATGGAGGAGGCTATTGCCAAGCGCGACTTCGAAAAGTTTGCCGAAGTCACCATGCGCGACTCTAACTCGTTCCACTCCTCGTGCGCGGATACCTACCCTCCCATCTTTTACATGAACGACGTCTCGCGCGCCGCCATTCGCGCCGTAGAGCAGATCAACGCTGCTGCTGGAAAGACTATTGCTGCGTACACCTTTGACGCCGGCCCGAACGCTGTCATCTACTACCTCGAGGAGAACACTGCTGCTGTCGTTGGTGCTTTCTCCCCTATCTTGGGATCCGTCGGTGGATGGAAGGAGGGCGCCAAGGATCTCAAGTCCTCTGTGGCCTTGGACGAGACTGTTGCTGGGATCATCCAGAGCGGTGTCAGCCGTGTTATCCAGACTGGCGTTGGTGAGGGCCCGATTAAGTCGGATATTTACCTTGTTGGCGAGGATGGTGAGCCGGTTAAGCGATGATCTGTTTAGTCCATTTTTGGCGGCATCTAAACAAGCTTCAAGTTGCTCAAAAGTTCTCTTTGTGCATATAGAAACACCTAATTAAATACCATTTCGAATTCCTGCTAGTATTGGCGACTGTGTCGTCAGTGGGACACAGACAATAGTGAATATCTCATGGGTACTCTCTCGCGATTCTAAGTGGCATGTGTCGCCAGCTTTGAGTATGCCAGCCGAGCATGGCACAGATTCTCCAACAATCTGGACAGGAATAAAATCAAGAACCGGGATGGTAAGAACATCAGCTCGAACTCAGTGTCTTTGAGAGCTTATTTCAGAGAAATTGCTGATTGACGTATCGCAAGGCAGCATTTCCTCGTCCTGAAAGTTCTCCCTTTTGCCTTCAAGGTCGGACCCACTTTTCTCATTCAACCTCACTCCTGCCTTCCTGCCACATCGCTCTTTCCTTGGCCATCCCTCTGCGAGATTCCTCAAACGAACAACAAAACAGAAAAAGGATGGCAGGAGCCGAGGAGAAAGAAGTCCTCATTGAGGAAAGAGATGGAACCGGAAGAATTACCCACCGCTGGCTGCACAATACCGCCTCACAAAAAATAACACTTGCGCGCCAGTCTCACCAAAACACCATCCCGACTCTCACCACGGCCCTCGCAACCTCAACGACAGCCGGGCTCGCCAACATGCGTCAGATTCTCTACGACGC